TGTCTAGATTATCTTGAGCGCATGAAGAAGGCACATTTCATAAAAGCAGAGACAGGAAGCTCTAGGGGCCATCTTGCCCAATCTGCTCTTTTTCAGGCGAGAAAAACCACCGAGGCTTGCCTAGAGCAGGGAAAGGAGACACCAGGTCACAGCCAGGCAGGGCTAGCATGTATTCCCTTTGTCATCTGTCCTAGTCTGTTCAGACTGTGACGTTCATCCCCCTTTACCCCCCAGTTAATGCCATCCTCTCATGTAAAATATGTCTATGCTATCCTAAGAGGCTCGAGAAGTCTTCACTGATGTCAGCATTAGGGTTTAACCCTGATGACGCGCCAGGCACGGTGGCCCAGTCCCAGTACTCGGGAGGCAGAGGCAGGCAGATATTGATGAGCTTGGTCTACAGAGTGAGTTCTAGGCCAGCCAGAGCTACAAAGCGAGACCCCATCTTAAAAAAGAAAACAAGCAAACAAACAAAAGCCAATGTCTTGGAGAGCACATCTAAGTCAGCTATGGGTGGGTGATTCGCTCTGAGGTAAATTAGTTGAAATGGGAGCATCACACAAGCATTGTGGTTTTAAAATTCAGTGTGTGGTAGGTATAGTATAGATCTTTCTATCCCAAAGGAGCAAATTAGGAAAGGAAAAAAATGAGTGACAGGTCTTGAGTCAGCAAGACCTCACAGCTTTAGAGCCATTTGGCCATACTATTTTGTCTTTCAGGCCCACTAGGACACCCACAGACCCTGCATAACAGCTTTGGCTAACCCTGCCCCTGTCTTTGCTGGGAGCAGCCCACACCATACCCCTCACAGGTTGGAGTCGCCTGACTGTGGCTCTTCCAGACTAGAATGGTTCGCACACCTGTGGGCCTACTGGTCTGGAGTCTCCGGGGAACCCCATTCCCATGGCCTGCTGGGTATTACTGTAGTGAGCGCTCTCTGCATTGGCCTCCACCCACACCACAGTTCTCTTTCCAGGGGCCACCAAACTCTGAGGCATCCTTTGAAATCCAGGTGGAAGTAGCCACACCCCCACAGCTTTGCTTGGCACAGAGCAGTCACGTCAGGAGCCAGTGGGAGCCACACCTGGTGTGACTGATGTGCGTGGTGTTAGAGTTCAGGAAGCTAAGGCCTCCGTATGAACCGGTGCTGGGCAGTGGCGGGGCTCTTCCCTTGATAGGGTTCTGTCCTCCGGGCTCTGAATGTGGCCTTCTGATGGGAGTGGAGCTCTTTCCCTCCGCGAAGTCTAAGATGACTTGAACTCATTATCTCATTGTCTTGGACAATAGGCCCTTTATCCAGCTGACTAATCTCCACATTGTCTGGACGAATAGCACCTGGCCTCCCTAGGGATGGGCGATCCATGTAAGTCTCCTTATCAAGCAAGCCTCAGGCACACCTGTGTTCCCTCCTCCACAGAGTTTGCTCATTTTTTTTTTCTTCCCAGTAGGAATAGTCTGGAAAAAGCTTCCAACTTTTATGTTTTCCTGTTTATTCTAACTAATAATTCTATTTTTAAAATACTGCTCTTTGGGCCAGTGAGATTGCTCAGTAGTAAGGGTGCCTGCCACCAAGCCTGATGACCCGAGTTTGGTCCCTGGGACCCACGTGGTGGGAGGAGAGAACCACCTCCTGCAAGTTGTACACACATACCACATGCATAGACTCACACAGGCAGACACACATGCGTACATCCTCTTCTTTTACATTTCACTGTGTCAAGAGGAACCAGACCACTTAATCAGCTCGGTGCCTAGACATTTTCTCAGCCAGATATCCAATCTCATCACTCACAATTCGACCTTCCATGGATACTAGCACATAAACAAAATTTGTTGGGGGATATTCGATCACACTGTAAACCCCAAGTTTGCATTAGCGTTAATTAAATAAAATTTACCTTGGGTCAGGAGGCTTCGTTAGCAACTAGCTGGCAGAAAGTAATCAAAGAGCCTTAGAGGGGATCCGGGAGAGATAGAGAGACACAGGAAGTAGAAGGGAGGGATTTGGAGCGGCACAGCCTTTTCCGGTTTGGCCAAGCAGAAGGAGAGAAAATTAGCTAGTAGTTACTCAGCCTTTCAGAGCTCACAGGTTTTCATCCCAGCCTTTGGATCTCCGAGTTTTTGTGAGGTTTTGTTTGTTTGTTTTTTCGAGACAGGGTTTCTCTGTGTTGTTTTGTTTGGTGCCTGTCCTAGATCTCGCTCTGTAGACCAGACTGGCTTTGAACTCACAGAGATCCTCCTGCCTCTGCCTCCCAAGTGCGGGGATTAAAGGCGTGCGCCGCCGCCGCCGCCGCCGCCGCCGCCGCCGCCGCCGCCGCCACTACTACCACCACCTGGCTTGAATCTTGAGTTTTATTCCTAATTAGAATGATAGAGATTTAGTTAAAGCTACTTTTAGCAGCAGTGACAGAGCCAGTGCGTGCAGGAGCAGAATTCTCACTAGACTGCGGCCTGAGTGTCCAGGTTGCTGCTGGAGAAGCAGGCCTTAACTTCAGAGTTGCAGTTGCTGACTGAGATAGCAGTAGATTAAGGCACAGATACTGTGTTAAGTTAAAACCACACAAATTAAGTGAAATTTCTCTGCTGTTTTATTACAAGAATGGTCTCTGTTTTATCGACTGATGCTGTGTCCTCAGTTCCAACTGCAATCCTCATCAGAATGGTGATTGCCATCTGTATTTATCAGCATTCTGTTCAGAACCACTCTGATGCTTTCATGATGTTGAAACTCCCTCCTCTTATTCTCTGCCCTCCCCTCCCCAGAACCATTCCCTGCAGTTCATTGATGACACTGAAACTTATTCCAGCAGGCATTTTACAACTCCTCTGGCCTCAGCTGCCTCTTATTTAGTTCTGAAGCCACCTCCGTATTTTTAGTGTGTGTTTGTTTGTTGGTCACAGTTATCACCCCACTCAATATAAACGTCCTATCTTAGGTTCTTCAAGTAGCTATATAACAAAATACCATAAACTGGGTGGCTTATCAAAACAGAAGTTTATTTCTTAGACTTCTCAAGGCTGGGAAATTCAAGATCAAGACACCAGGAGACTTGTCTGGGGAGAATTTGCTTCTTAGATAGTGGTCTTCCTGGATAACTGAAAGGTTTCTGGGGTTCGTGGGAAACACAGGTACCCGGATATCCTGTAGTCAAGGGGCAGGAGTTAGTCTGAGAGCCAACCAACCTCTTAAAAGAACCTAGATCTAAATTATAAAGCTTCTCTTGGGGAAGTGAGGATCCTAGGCTCCCAGACAGCCGTGACAGGGCACCTGTTGTTTTTTTATAGCAGCTGTGAGGGTAGAGACAGAAAGAAGTCTGAGTGACTGCTAGCCCAGACCTACCAGTTATGACCTCAGCAACTGCAAGGTCTTTATTTCATCCCAGTTTACCTCTGCTTTATTTCGTTTTTTGTCCTTTTTGAGTTAGAGTCTTTCTCTGTATCCCTGGCTAGGCTGGAAGTGGCTGTATAGACTGGGCTGACCTCACGTTTGGGACAGTCCTCCTGCTTCTGTCCTTCAAGTCCTTGAGACTGGGGTTCTGTAATTTTAATTATTACACACACCACACTTCACACAATATTTGTAAGTTACAGAGGAGCTAAGCAAAGAAAAACATGCTAGATAGGATCCTTCTATGTAGCTCTGGCTGTCTTGGAACACGCAGAGGTCTGCCTGCCTCCATCTCCTAAGTTCTGGGATTAAAGGTATGTGCCACCAAGCCTGGCTAAACTGTAGGATTTTAAAAGACAAGGCAGAGCTATGCCAGGACTGTGGGCCTGGCTCAGTGGGTAACATGCTTGCTGCATAATCGTGAAGACCTAGGTTTGAATCCACAGTTCCCACATAGAAGCTGCACGTCTCTAATTACTGGGGAAGAAGAGATGGGAGGAGATTGCTGGCCTCAAGTCTAGCTGAATCCATGAGCTCTCACTGGACCAGAGAGAGGCCTTGTTCTAAAATATAAGGCAGAGAGCACTTGAGACAGACACTTGACGTCAACCTCTTGCTCTTACATGCATGTGTACACAAACATACACACATCCAGAGCGACGGTCAGTACAAACAAAATACTCCCAGAGATCAGACACTAGGTCTGGAGAGCTTCCAACTGGCAGTCCCAGAGCAGGGGAAGTCACGCTTACTTGAGTCCAGGACAGTTAGAATTTGTTACTTGGTGATCTACAGGGCAAAGGCACATTGGAGGGGTCCATGACAGTGGTGGGGTGGGGTGCCATGCTGCAGTCTGTGGTTCCTCCATTCATAAATCTGGGGTGAGGGGAGTGTGTCAATCACTGGTCTGATGGGTGCAATGAGCCCTCGAGATACTTTTTATTAACACAGATAATTCACTCACCACTGTCTGCCTTCTGGGTGTCCCGGGCAAAGGGTATTTGTTCATGTGGCCAAACAAGATGCCGGGTCAGGGGCTGGGGAGATGGTTCAGCAGGTGAAGGGGCTTGCTGCCCAGCCTGACAGCCCAAGTTCAATCCCTGGAACAAGCACGGTTGGAAGCAGAGCACTGCCGCCAGCAAGTTGTCCTCTGACTTCCGCCTGCATGCCATGGCATGCATGCCCCACCCTCACCAACTAACTCACTAGCTAGACGCCATGTCATTGTACCTTATAAGGCATTGATACCCAACATGGAGGGGCTTCGGATGAACTGCTGCTCTATCTAAGATGTAATTCAGGGCAGGGCACAGCCTGCTCTTTACGGGGGAAGGGTAATATCCAGAGTAATGAGGGACCTGGGCCTCGAGCACTAGCAGAGGTCTTTCTGGGAACACGCTAATAGTGGTTCTTGACTCTGAGGTTCAACAGAAAGCAGACAGAAGCAAAGCCAATTATTTGATGCCCGTTAGACCCAGGTTAGCTCCAGGCAGGGCAAGAGGGATTCTATTCTCCAGAGAATCTGAGGCGGGTGTAGACCCTGGACCCATCACCCAGGCCTCATGACATGCAAAACTAACTGGGCCTGGCCCTCCCCGCCGGTGTCTTCCAGAGTGTCCGGAGGAGAACTGTTCGATTTCCTGGCCCAGAAGGAGTCGTTAAGTGAGGAGGAGGCCACCAGCTTCATTAAACAGATCCTGGACGGGGTGAACTACCTTCACACAAAGAAAATTGCCCACTTTGATCTCAAGGTCAGTAAGGGGAATAAAACAAAAGAAGTCTTTAGGAAGAAGGGACCCTGTCCCCTTATCATTCATAGGAAGGGTCATAGGCCCACTCATCACCTTCAGCCCCAAATCCTGACCTTGGGGGCGGGGTGGAGGTGGTGGTGAATAGCCTGTTACAAGTATCCACCTCAGTTCACTTTTCCTTTTAGCACATGGGGCTGACAAAAGATGCCCTTTGATCAACTAGAAACACTGTTATCTCTTCCAGAGAGTAGATGATGCGCAGTTAAAAACAAAACAAAGCCAGCCAGGAGAAACTTAAAGCAAAACCCATTTTACAAGAGGAAACTGGTTGACAAGGAAGAGCTAAGTCATGAGTGGGCAGGACAAGCAGGCTTTGCAGAACTGCTGAGGTTGGCTGACACTCTAGACCCAGCACAGCGTGGCCTTCTGTCTCCTCACCAGAGATTATAGATCTTGGAGCCCAAGGACCATTGGCTGCCTGCTCCTGATCATTTGTGGTAACTGGTGTTCAGGGTCAGGAAAGTTCATCGTGACCACATAGAACTGCGTAGAGTATGACTGTGGCCGAGGCAGAGGGATTGACTCTCTGAGTGAGCTCTGGAGCATGCACTGATTGATGGGTCTCTGCAGGGAGCTGACTCACGGAAGTCCCTCAACTCATGTGCAGACTCCTGTTTCTGGGAGAACCATCCGCTGTTAGTTGTCATGACTTCTTTATTTGCTTTTGAGTCGTGGTCTTATGTAGCCCAGGCTGGCCTTGAACTCTTGATTCTCCTGCCCCTGCTTCCCAGGTGCTGGGCTTACTCGGATGCACCACCACACCTGGCTGTCTAATCAGTGCTCTCTGCAGAAAGCCTCCTGCTCTTTTGTGTACTGGGCTTTGCTCCTCCTCTCAAGGAGATTGATGCAGGAGACAGATAAAAAAGATAATCATTCTAAGAGTGTGACAGAGGGAAGCACTGAAGGGCAGACCTCTGACTGATCCTGAAGCGACCAGAGAAGGCTGCCCGGAAAACCTGGCATTTGAATTTTCTAAAGAATCGACAGGGCTTTGCAGAGGGAAAGGACCGTGTCCAGGTGTCCATGATCACAGTAACAGCACAATGCATTCAATGCATTATAGAATGCATTATAGGAAGAGCCTGGGAAGAGGGCAGGGGGAGTTGAGAGACGCTGACGGTGAGCTGAGGAGGTGCGCTTTACCCTTTGCCCCTTGCCCTTTACGCTGAGAGGTGAAGGGGGTCAGGTTAGTAGGCATCTATTTCAGCTGGCTTCCTTCTGGCTGGGCAGCTGGGGGCCCGGCAGTGATTAGATGAGGTATGCAGTAATTCAGGGGTCAACCTCAGAATTGCTTAGGTGCCTAGTTTCATGTGAAAGTTAGGATGAGGCCACATCTACAGTGACACCAGTTCTGGTTTGAGGGACTTCCCCAGAGAGAATGTGACATGCGCACAGTCTTACGGCAGCCACCCCAGGGGGCGGGTTCAGTTCCCATGTCCCAATTCTTATTCTAGCATGCCAGTTGTCACAGTATTTTGAATTACTTCTACTGAAGATGTCTTACAGAGTCCCCTCAGTTGTCACCAAATAAAAATAAAAGTGGGGCTGGAGAGATGGCTCAGAGGTTAAGAGCACTGACTGCTCGTCCAGAGGTCCTGAGTTCAATTCCCAGCACCCATATGGTGGTTCACAACCATCAGTAATGAGATCTGGCACCCTCTTCTGTATACATAATAAATAAAAAAAATTAAAAATAAAAGTCGGGGCCCAGCGGAGGGTGGGACTGGGCAAGCTTTTGAATAGTGGCGAGGTGATAGAGCAGGCAGGTAATGGCCTACCTGGATTGCTTCTGTGTCTCTTTCCTGGTAGCACCGTGCGCAGTTAACTTATTTTCTTGGGTCTTTCCTGGCTCCTGAACACTGCCTCCAAATGGGCTCCTCTTGTCTTTTCTCTGGAGGCTGGTAGAAGTGGGCGGGTTTGCTGTGGTCAAGGGGAGCCTGGGTTGGAGTCAGCAGGGTTGGACGTTATACCTCATTCCGCCATACCCCGGAAGGCACCTGAACCTTGGTTTTTCATCCCTGTTGCAGAGAGTACCACCCACCTGGCAGAGTTGGCATAAGAGGGAAGCAGTGTGAAGTGATGCATACAGATGTGTGTTGCATGCTGTTATTGTTATCTCCCTTCTCAGAAGAGTGGAAAAGAAAACACAACTCTTATTACAATGTTTTTGGGCTCTGCTAGACTAGGAAAACAAACTCTGGTAATGTGGTTCTTACACTGCCCTGTGAGAGCTGAGACTTCTTGTTGTGGGGTGGCTGATGGAGCTATTTCTAGCTCTCAGGCTCAGCCTGGACATTTTCCATGGCCTAGAGACAGCCTGAGTTTACCCTGGAACATATAGGGTAAGGATGCTGCTAACCCCGCTCATGGCCCTGCATCCTCAGGGTATACAGACTCTGAACTTCTTGCTTCCCCTTTCTCATGGGTACCTTGGCCTAGGCCCAGATAGGCAACTTGGGGGAATGATGTGCAGCAGGACCACAAACAGATTTTCCTCATGGTTGGGAGACACCTCCCAACTAGAATGTAGTTTTGTGTGCTATTGGACTGGAATTTTCCACTAACTTCTCAGGATACAGCCAGCTGGTAGCCTAGAAGAGGTTTCTTGGTCCCATGTTGCTTCCTACCATCTAAAATTCACATATTCCTCTTAGTTTTCCTTTTCTGTGAAGAGCTTGTTTCCCCCGACTTACCCGTGTTCTTTACTCCTCAAGAAGAAAGCCTGGCCTCCCTAGGACACAGCCACCATGCCATCTCCATGCTCCATCCCTTACCCCTCTTTCCAGCTTGAAGGAGCCATGGCTGAGGAGGGTCAGCTGTCTGGCTGCCTTGGTGATATGATGACCTCCTGGGAAGCTGTCTTAGTTTCTTTGCCTGGTGCTGAGATAAAACACCATGACAAAAGGAACTCAAGGGAGAAAGGGTTTATTTCCGCTCACAGCTAAGGGACTGACCGGTCCACCATGAAGGCGGAGCAGCAGAGCTTGAAGCAGCTGGGCCTTGCAGATAGTCAGGAAGCAGAGAGGGAATGAACCCATGCTCCTGCTTAGCTCGCTTTCTCCATTCTATGGAGTCCTGGATCCCCTTTTCAGGAAGGGTCCACCCACGATAAATAGAGGTCTTTCCACACCCATTAACATGAAGATAAGCCAGCGGCTGTGGCACATGCCTTTAATCCCAGCACTTGGGAGGCAGAGCCAGGAGGATCTCTGTGAGTGCAATGCCAGCCTGGTCTACAGAGCGAGATCCAGACAGGCTCCAAAACTACACAGAGAAACTTTGTCTCAAAAAAAAAAAAAAAAAAAAACCAAAAAAACAAAAACAAAAAAGAAACAAAACAACAACAACAACAAAAAGCAATCATGAAGTTAATCCTCCACATACATGCCCACAGGCCCGTCTTCCAGGCAATTCTAGAGACCATGAATGTGTGTTGCATCCTCTCTACTCTTCCTTTTCCCTTCCCAGAGCCTTCCTGCTCATCCTCTAAGACCCCAGCAGGAGTTTGCTTTCCTCTGGAAAGCCCCTGCTATTTGGCAAAAGTGTAACTGAGAATTAGCCAGCCCGTGTGCTTCTGTTCCCAATGTGCAAACTTCTGCAGGAGCATTGAAATTTTTACTTTTAAACTTTTATTGATTCTCTGTGGATTTCACAGCACCCATTCTGATCCCACCTATCTCCCCATCCCCTCACATCCACTCTCTACCCTTGCAACTTCTCCCCCAAATAAAAACTAAATTTAAAAGAAAAACCAAAAACAAAACAAAACAATGAGACAAAACCAACCAACCAACCAAAGAAAGAAAGAAGAGTCTTGTCCTGGAAGCTGTGGTGTGGCCCTCTGAGTCACACGGTTTACCCTTTAGTCCATTTATCTTTACTTGCAAGTCTTCATTGCTATGAGTCATGGGTCTGGTTCGAAGCCTCTGGTTTCTGCTATATCACCAGTAATGGGTTCTCCCTGGGGTTCCTCGTGGATTTCCTGCTGTTGTACTGGGTCCTAAAGATCTTGCCATTTTGGAGCTATAGGTTCGTCCCCTTCACATGCTCTAACAGTTCATAGATGAGGTGGATAATGGGGTGAGTCCACTCATAGCCCTGGTTCTGGGCCTGGGTGGTAGCTGGGTTGGTCAGCCCACCAGCTTTCCCTCATGGTCACTACCCAGGGGAGCTCTCCATCACTGCCTGGGCTAGCTCACCCCCTGCAGCCTGCAGCAAGGGGCAGGGCCAGTTCTCTTGCTCTCAGGTCCTCAGATCAGGGTCACCCACACTCATATCACCAGGGCCAGCTCTGCTGTTTTGCCCAGGCAAGGTGCAGGGCTCTCTGGGAGCGCTGATCTTTATGAATCACTTTCTGTGGCGTGGTGCCTGGTATAGTATGAGTGAGTCACTGGGTGCTGAATAAATGAAGGAGCAAATGAATGAATGCCCTAGTGACAAGCAAGTGTGCTCATGAATGTTCAGCACCTAGCAGTTAGTTCACCAGTACACACGTTTATTGAGGACCTATTGTAACACAGGGGAAAAGCAATTAAACAGTGTGACGCAGCCACCCCTGCCTTCCAGTAGCCTAATGTCTTCGGGGAGATGGACTCGGTCAGGCTTGGTGAAGAGGCCATCTGCAATAAAACCTAATAGGTCCTCACTAACCATGCCCACTTCCAAGGAGTGAGCTCTCTGCCTCAGGCAGAGCGGAGACCATTTCAGCACGTATTGTAAACTGGACACAGATTTGGTAGGCTAGAGTGGAAGAGCAAGGGGTGTTTCCCCTGTTGGGAGGGACGTGGCCGACGGCCTGTTGGTATCAGCGACCATCAGCCAGGCTGTCCAGGGGTCAGGTCACCAGGAAATAGGCCTTAGTAACCTCACCTTTGAACATGGTCTCAGTACAAATAGCGACTTCTAGAAGGCGTTTACATGCAGTCTGGGTGTGGTTTCTC